AAAGCTGAACAAACACAGACTATAAATTGGCATTGGCTGATTACAGCCATGCAGACTAAATTTAAAGAGACATTCCTGTGTCCAGCAGGCTGGGTACAAAGAAAAAAAACAAAACACCACCAATTTTGTTAGAGGGGGAGGGGTGGGGAGGAGAAAGATGGGCAGAACTTTTCTTTTTAAGTGAAGTTCCGCTTTAAGATTAACCAGCTTGACTAACTAGATTGTCAGCTTTTGTAACTCAAACAGCATAGTATTCTAGGTACTCATAATCATCTATTTTCCAGATTAAAAGATACTTTTACTTACAACGAGTTTTAAAATTAGTTGTTAGCTACTGAGACCTAAACAAAGTTCATACATGAATGTGATCAGCCACGTGCCTGCTTAACACACTACCTCCTCCATCATCTAAGGTTGTACTAAGGTGTACATTTATTAAGCAGAGATAATTTATCTCATTTCAGTTATCTGTAGTTCTCAGAGAAAAATCTTCTCCTCTGTCCCCTTGTTTATGAAGCAGAGAACATTTGTTCTCAGAAGGAGAAGAGGTGAGGTTTTTCCTCTGAGAACAGCTGAGATCTGTGTAGAAGGGGGGGGGCTGCATGTGATCTCCTGAGATAATTGTGCGATTACAGATCACCTGAGTTTAAACAGTGAAACCAAAGTTAAAAAGACCATGCAATTACATGAAAATATTAAGCACTGACCACTGGTACTTTTTTACGCACATTTTGGCACATTCTTTAAATGTGGATTTTGGCTCCTTTTTATTGCGCATTTTAGCATTATTTCCATGCATTTTGACAATTGTTAACATGCTGTATTTCTTAACATGCATTTTGGAGTAGGTTTTTTTCTTATGTGCATTTTGGCGCTTTTCTAAACACACATTTAGGCGCTTTAACGCACATTTTGGCACAGGTCATTTTACCATGCATTTTGGTGTGGTTTGTAAGGCACATTGTGGCACTTTTCTTAGCACGTATTTTGGCACTTTTTTAAAGTGCATCTTGATTTGGTTTTTTTTATACATATTTTGGCAAACTGCACATTTGCTAGCAACTTTTGGCAAACAATGGCACTGCAAATATGACATGCATTTTGCATGCATTTCCAGAACACACACAAAAACACAGGTCAGGTAAAAAATGTGCCAAAATATGTTTAAAAAGCCCCAAAATGGTTTGGCGGTTGCCAGGAGAACAATACTTGCCTTACTGCATTGTGTCAAGTGTAAAGATTGGTGGAAGGGGGATTATGGTGTGGGGTTGTTTTTCAGAGGTTAGGCTTGGCCCCTTAGTTCCAGTGAAGGAAACACCATTAAAGTGCATGTGTGTGTAAAGGCAGGTGTCCCAACACTTTTGGCAATATAGTGTATTTTTTTAAAAGGGGGTAATCTTCCTACTTTGACTCCCTCTCAGGGGCGGACTGACAACTCATGGGGCCCCTGTGTCCTTGCCCAAACTCAAAAAAGCCTATGAAAAAGGTACCAGGGGCATCTCATTGGGCCCCCTACTGACCCCGAGCCCTCAGGGAGTGCTCCCTCTTTAATCTTTTCCTGCTAATCTGGTGCACATATGCAGTGATCGGGAACTTTCCAATCATGTGATCGCTGTGACTACCAATCACATGATCAGAATGCCTGCCTCCATCTCCCAATATTTATATCCTGTTAAAGGACCAGGAGGGGATGGAGGGAAAGGATTGGGAGACTGCAAATAGTACAGCAAGGTAAAATTGGCAAGCAGCCAGATAAGGGAGAATGTAACAACATAAAACTAGCCAGTAGCAGGATGTTTTTAAATAATGGAAAATTGACCATTCTGTACTAGAGATACAGAATACAGGCAGGTGTTTACTACTATAATTAAGAGACTGCAGAAGTGCAGATGATACAGTAGTGTAAGATTGCTCAGCACCAGGACATTTTTCATGAACAAAACTAGACCCAAATATACTAGAGGCAAAAAGCACAGCCATGGATTTTACTAAAAAAAAATAAGATAGCATAAGCAGTACAAATTCAATTGTAAATAAAAGGCCTACTTTGTATATAATTAACTTTTATTTTTACAATGGGAATGAGAGGTGTATTAAAAGTAAAAAATATAGTGAGGTATTATAGGTACACACAATTCTTGCTTTTTTTTTTTCATTCAAACAATGCATCAGTGCACTGTGAACAAAAGGCAGCCCTGAGAACAGATGGCCAGCAATAAGAAAATGCTGTGCTTTAAGCACCCCAAACTTAAAAAGTCCCTATAAACATAAAATAAAATGAAAAAAAAGAAAAAAAAAAAGTGAAAACCTGACAGATACTACCACTGAAAAAAGATTTTTATGGACAGGACCGTAGTTAATAGTGACCATTGACCTAAAATCAACCACAAGTCCCTACTAATAGGAAAAAAGGGTAACAAAGAGGTTGATTATCCAAAGAGCTAGCAATAATAATTAAGGTTTCCTAACAGACCCATATCTCTTCCATTGCAGTTTGTCAGCTTGCCACATATTTCTCACAAAGCAACTTCCATGCCATTATAGATACTCAGTGTCCCCTTTTTATAATGAGGGGACTGGCTTTTTCAAAAACCCCCTTATTGACCCTGGCTTGCTGGTTAGAGCATAGGCCATGTGGTACATATTTTTTTAAAAAATATTCCCAGACAAAACACTTTAAAAGTGAAAGCAATTCTGTTCCTCCCGCTTCTAGTCTATGCTGCTGTAAAGGGCATTGCGAGAGGCTGATACAAAATCAAATTAAGGTACTTAGCTGCATTTAAATATACATTTCATGATTTATTAATAAATATATCTAGCTGCAATAACGTGTGCATTTAATATCTGCCCATAGTTCAGCTTTTGCCTGCAGGATTATCTGCACCCCTGATCCTTCCTATTTATTCACAAGTAAAAGCATTAAAAAAAACGATTGGCAAGATTATTAATCCTTTTAAGCAACTTTCCCCATGTCACTTAACAATGCAGTAAGTCCCAGCAGCAGAATGGTTAAGCCACAGTTTAATTTGAGTCTCCAGGGGATCTCATGCCTCTTAAATAATTGAGTGGCAGGAGATTACTTGTGTGTTTTTACTGGTGTATTGATTGTAGAGCAGTTAATCGGTTGTCTCTGTGGAGTGATAATGTTGTACCAAGCAGATTATTGGAAATCACATTTCGTAATATCATTAATAAATCCTTTCTGAGAGGGTCTGTTACAGGTTGAGAACAACAGAAGGTTCACACTAGCCATGATTGGAAAATACCAATATTTATATTACCGGTAGTTGAGAAATGAAAAACTTCTCTTCCATTTTAATTAATTCATTAGATAACAATGAGAATCCTGGTATGGGTCCTTTATAGCTAATAAACAAAAATGATTCCCGAAATGGGAAGATTTAAACATATTAACCATAAATAGAAAAAAGACTGGATGGCTCTACTGCAGCTATTTGAATGGGGGAAATATGTAATTGGATGGAATGTTGAACAAATTGCTATGTTCCAAAGACACTGTTGAGATGGAGTGCAATTTCTTGAAGGACTATACCAGTTAACAATATGCATTCATTCAGACAAATATGCTTCTAAGATTTTGTGCCCAGATTTGAGCTTTTCATATATGTAGCGCTCATCCCTAAATGGTTAATTGGTTGATTCTGTACTTCTCTGCCAATGACCTAATCAGAACTGACCTAAGAATTACCAACAAAGAGCTTGGGTTTGAGAGATTTCCTTAATTTTCTATCCTTCCAAAAATGTGATAAAACACCGGAAGTGACACAAAAATCTGTAGCAGGGAAACAAGACAAAAATATAAATCTGACAGGGATTCTAGCCTTCCCAGTTCTGCTAAGAAAAAGCTTTAGTTATTTCTCTGTGTGTTGCTGTTGAATAGTTAAGCTGGCCAAACACTAGTAGATTTTCATGTGAATATTTGTGAAGAAAAAAACACTAGTACATTCAATAAGGCTGTAGGGGATCTGCTACCATCAACCTTCTTTGTTTGTAAATAGCTTTTGCTTATTATTTACTAGAGTTAGTTACAGACAGGTAATGTACTTCCTGTCCCTGCTAGCTAGATCAGAAAACTCTGATTGGAGGACTGTGATGTTATATAAGGGGGAGTTTCCAAGTAGACAGGAACTGAGCAACATGAGGTTATGCACACAGAAGCTGTTATATTTCACCCAGGCCTGAAGCAGAGACTATTAGGCAAGTGTTCCTATGTCCTATTAGTTTAACTGCAGCTGACCATAGCTTCTTGAGTGTGTAGCTGTCCTATTGTTATTATGTGACATGAGAGATAGGTGAACCTGTTTATTGCAATAGTGTTCATATGCAGTTCCTGTTATTTTAGTTAACCTTGTTCCTTCTGGGATTCTATAGTTAGTTTTAGCTCAAGGCTCAATAACTAGCAAAAGCTAGAGCCAGGTTAGGCATCTGACAGCCAATTCTGACAGTTAGAGGTTCAGCTGCATGATAGATTATAAACTACTAGGGACTAAGACACAGAGTAGATAGGCTGTGTTTCAGTGCCACACCACAATTTCTTCCAGTGAGAAGCGTCATTCCAGGCTGGTTTGACAACAGTTTGGAGAATTTTCCAAACACAAAACAAATTTGAATTACATTGAAATTAAGTTCAATAAAGAAACATTTTCTATCCAGCTTCTATGATTTTTTTTGTCACTATAGTAGAAAATGATCATCGATTTGACCCAATTAACTTTTAGGATATTAAACAAACATTTCACAAATACTGTAATGGATTAGCGCCAGATGGCTCATTTAACTAGTTGCCGACCGCAGATAGCCGAATGATGGCTGCACTGCGGCAGGCCAGTTCTGAGTGGACGTCATATGACGTCCTCCCAGAACGCGCTCTCCTGCGTGCCCTATGGACACAGCTGATCACGTGATGTGGTAAAAGGCCAATCACAGCGGCCTTTTACCACGTGATCAGCGGTGTCCAATGACACGCTGATCAGAGGGAAATGCAAGTGCCGGTTCTCGGCTGCACTTTCCTCACGCTGTCAGATCGTGAGGAAAGTACTGTCGAGAACCGGCAGTTGTCAGAGCGGGGATCGGCACCGATCATCAGGGCACTGATGATCAGTGCCCTGATGATCGGTGCCCAGCAGTGCCACCCGCAAGTTCTGCCCACCTGTGCCCAGCAGTGTGTCCACTAGCTCCGCCCACCTGTGCCCAGCAGATCACCCACCTGTGCCCAGCAGTGCACCCACCTGTGCCACTCTGCAGTGTCACACACCTGTGCCCAGAAGTGCCACCTACCTGTGCCCAGAAGTGCCACCCACCTGTGCCCACCCACCAGTGCTGCCCACCAGTGCCACCCACCAGTGCAGCCCAGCAGTGCTGCAGTCAGTGCCACCAGTCAGTGCCCAGGGGTTGTGCCAGTCAGTGCCGCCAGTCAGTGCCCAGCAGTGATGCCAGTCAGTGCCATCTATCAGTACCCATCATCAGTGTCACCTATCAGTGCCGCCTATCAGTGCTGCATATTAGTGCCGCCTATCCGTGCCACCTCATTAGTACTGCCTATCAGTGCCCTTTAGTGCTGCCTATCAATGCCGCCTATCAGTGCCCATCAGTGCTGCCTCATCAACGCACATCAGTGAAGGAGAAAAAATACCTGTTTGAAAAATGTTATAATAGAAACAAAGAAACTTTTTTTTTTCCAAATTGTTTGCACTTTTTTTTTTATTTATAGCGCAAAAAGTAAAGCGCCCAGTGGCGATTAAATACCACCAAAAGAAAGCTCTATTTGTGAGAAAAAAAAAGATCAAAATTTCATATGGGTACAATGTTGCATGACCGCGCAATTCTCAAAGTGCGGCAGCGCTGAAAGCTGAAAATTGGCCTGGTAAATAAGGGGGTATAAGTGCCTGGTAGGCAAGTGGTTAAGGAGTGCCTCTGCTCAGGTTCAGTGCTGACTGGTCTTCAGCTCCCCCCATGTCCTGCTTGCTCCTGTACGATTCCTTTGTTGCTGACCCGGCTTGTTCCTGACCCGGCTTGTTCCTGACCCGGCTCCGATTACTCTCCTGCTCCTGGTTCCTGACTTCGGCTCTGCTCCTGACTTTGTCTTTTCCTTCTGATTCTGTACCCGCGCTGCCCGACTGTTTATGACCCCGGCTATCCTTGACTCTGCTCCAGTCCTGTGTCCTGGCTACCTACCTTGCTCTGCTGCACATCTGGGAATCTACAGAACCTGCCTGGTCTATTTCTATGGTGCCCAAATCAGAGGATACTCTGCCTACCAAGGTCATCATCTGCAAGAGCCGCAAACAACAACCACTGGCGCTCTTGTCCCCCTGGTCCCTAGACTCCCTCTGTTCCAACCTCAGCAGGGTCAGGGCTAGTGACACAAGTGAGGCTGACCTCGTCAATTCTGTCTCCCATCAGGTACATGACAAATACTTTTTTAAAATGAAATTCTATTGGTGCATGGCTAGGAAAATCTTTCTCCTGCTCTAAGGGCTGGTTCATACCATGAATCACACACGAACACACTCTGTGTTCCTGTGAGATTTGCGTGCTATCCAGGACCAGCGCAATTTCAGCCCAACCACTTGTTTGGGTTGAAATCGAGCCAGATAGAGCCATACTACATGCACTACTGTAAAGACACACAGCAACTGGATCGCATGCTACACTGACACCCGCTGCACATTGCAAGTGCAGTGTGTTTTGAATGCAGTGCAGGAAAAGCACTATGGAACGTGAGTTTTCTTCACCACATTCTGGTGTGAATGGGCTGTAACAGAGCACTGGATAGCAGTATAGGGGCCTTTCACACTGATGCATTTTTGCTGTGTTTTTACCTTGCTAAAAATGCAAGAAAAAGGCAACAAAAATATTTCCCTTTAAATCAATGGGACTCTTCACACCACTGTTCTGCGGGTGTGGTGCATTTAGAAAAGTCCTGCATGCTGCATCTTTGGTGCTCTTTTCAAAACTACACCAAAACACAGCTCACTATTGAAATGAATGGTAAATGGATCAAAAACAGATACAAATTGCACCATGGTTGAGTCACATGAGTTCACATGTGCATGCTGAGAGTTAGGCACCCAGAAAATGCACTGGAAATACATACAAAATGCATCAAAACACATGTTAGTAGAATTTGGTCTCTACAGACCATCCTTTGTGAACTGCAGGAGGACCTTTATCTGCATGCTGAACACATGACCCCTTGTGTGGCTTTTCTGTTGGCTTGATAGCCATGCCCCTGCAACATTTTTTAATCTCATTTTAGTGCAAGCAGTGACAACTCTGATCTGAGTACAGGAGGAGTGCAGCATAGTTGGCACACCATCACAGGAAGCTGCATCAGGTGGATTTCAGTGGAAAAATCAGCAGGCATTTCTGGGACTTTTCAGGGAGACTAATGCAGGCCATAGATGGGGAGAAAAACGGCAGATTTTTCTTTTAAAAAACGAAAAATCGGTCGTTCAGGTGGCCGACGTTACCATCAATGGTGTAAAAAAAAAAAAAAAAAAAAATCGTCCGATTTTCATCCCGTCTAGAGCCGGCAAAAAGTGTCCCTGCAGAGAGCTCTGCTATTTCTTTGACAGTTCTCTGACAGTTCCTTGACATTTACAGAGGTTGCAACATTGTATCTATTTGTTTCCATTTAGGATACAGATGTTTTTATTCGGAAACAAATAGATACAATGTTGCAACCGCTGTAAATGTCAAGGAACTGTCAAAGAAATAGCGGAGCTCTCTGCAGAGACACTTTTTGCTGGACTGGAATTCCTCTTATTTTCATCCTACTTCTTCTTCATCCTCATCCTCTTCTTCTTCATCTTCATCTTCTTCTTCTTCTTCTCTTCTTCTTCCTCATCCTCTTCTTCATCCTCATCTTCTTCATCCTCATCCTCTTCTTCATCCTCATCCTCTTCTTCATCATCCCCATCCTCATCCTCTTCTTCTTCATCCTCATTCTCTTCATCCTCATCCTCTTCTTCATCCTCATCCTCTTCTTCTTCATCCTCTTCTTCTTCATCCTCTTCTTCTTCATCCTCTTCTTCTTCATCCTCTTCTTCTTCATCCTCTTCTTCTTCATCCTCTTCTTCTTTTTGTCTTCCTCTTGCAGGTCACTGCTCATGCGCAGATTTTTTATCGGTAAAAAAATCAGCCGAATTGCCCACTAATTGCCGCGAAAATCGGCCGATCGGCAAAATCGGCCGATTTTTTTCCAACTTTACCGAAAAAAAAAAAACGGCCAAAATCCCGAAAAACGGCCGACCAAATAGCCCACTAACGATCCGAAAATCGGCCGATTTTATTTTGCATAAGGCTGCCATACACTATACAATTTTCTTGAGATTTTTGGTTTAGATTTACCTAAAACCATATAATAGGAGGTCAAACCTAACAACACTTTCAATTGTATCCAATTAGGCAGGCTGTTGCACTACATAGCTGAAGGTAAATTTAAAAGAAATTGGGCAGAAATTGGACAGAAAATTGTATAGTGTATGGCCAGCCTAAGTGGAAACTGTAAGTGTAGATGCACCTAAAAGTAAGTGTTGTAGCACATATTGTACATTAGGTTCTGCTTTAAAGAAGGAAATGTGACGTCACTGCCCTGCCTCTCCACTTCATCTAATCAGAGAACATTTTGCACTCATTCAAAAGATGCAAAGCGTTCTCTAAATGGTGCACATGCCAAGATGCCAATCTCCTGTGTTTAAAATTCAGCAGTTGCTCAACACAGGACCCGGAAGCAAGAGAGATTGTGTAGTGGTGTCGTGATTTCCAGCTTCCAGGGGCATTTGCCAGGTATGGTGTGTATATAGTTATATAAGTTATAAATTTGGCCAATGTAATTAAGTATTAAATGTCCATCTTTAAGTTGGATGGAAGTCATCTTCAAGTTGAAATTTACAGACAGGCCAACTCAGTACTGTATGATCTAATTTGTATACACAACAATATGGTTCATAAGCAATAACATATTGTCAGAAACTCTATTGCAAAATCATCTTCGGACATACATGTATTCCAACCTTCTGCCCCCCACCTCTTGGAAAACTACTAATAGTTAATTATTTAATCATAAGGGTCCCTTGCCTACATTTTTATCTTTGATAGCTGATTGAAATATGGTATGTATGTGCTTCTTTACACCATTGTACTGTCACTTTAGATCTCCTGAAAGCCCGTCAAATAAAAACAAAACCTAAGAGGAAATATTAAATCTTGCAAAATAGGCTAGTTTTGCATGTTCAAAAGACAGACATGTTCTTTTATCTTGCTAAAATTGCTATTTGTTTTGTCATTCAAAGGCTTTCTTGATTTAGCTTTTGGTGATGCTGGAATATACAGTACAAGGAGAATGTACTGTATACAGATGGCTTAAATAGCAGTAGGAGAGTCATTAACTAGATGCAGACCTAAAGGGTCAGTTTACTTTAGCGTTACGTTTTGGAAAAGCAACTTATGTGTTGTTATTCTGTACCATGGCAGATCAAGGTCTAAGTTATAATACTACCATTTCCAAGTTTTATGTCTGTTCACTGTAGATGTAATGAGGTATTAAGTATTTCAGCAACTCTTGGTGTGTTCTGTGCTTGCAGTACTCAGGGGTTTATTTACTAAAGCTGGTTCACTCAGAATTTCGTTCACCTGTGCATGGTAGCCAATCAGTTTCTAACCTCAGCTTGTTCAATTAAGCTTTAGCAATAAAATCTGTAAGCTGATTGATTTCCATGCAAAAATGCATGAAATTCTGAGTGAACCAGCTTTAGTAAATAAACCCCAGTGTGTGGTTTACTTTATGGAACAAGGCTTTTATAAAGACAAGCAATTGTGTGCCCGTTATGGGAAAAGAAAGATTCTTGTTTGTCAAAAGATAACGTGTAAACCAAATCAGGTTTATTTATGAAGTATAACACTTGGCCATACACCAATAGACTTTTGTTTGAAAATTGTTTTCAGATCGTTCATTCAATTTTCTAATGGTTAGTGGTGTCAAATCAATGTTCATTTTTAGTGAAGAGAAAATTGGTAGGAGCAGAATAGAAACTTTTTCTCAAATTAGCAAAATTCTAACTTTGAATGTGGTTTTTATTTGGGAAAAACTGTACATATTGTAATGTGCATGTTCTAGGCATAAGGAAACCGGTTTGGTAATTGTCTGGGATGCCATTGAAATGGTAAGTCTGGATGAAATATTAAGGGCTTTTGAATGAAATTGGTTGACTCAAGGATGGCAAGAAAGAATGCTGTGGCAAAATATTTTTCAGAGGTTTCATACAAACATTCAAATTAAATTCTCCTGGTGTATGGCCAACATTTCTATACTCCCGATTTTCAGTTGCTATCGGTGGGTAGAGTGACAGTATCTTATACTGGTAAGAAAGTATAGAACAGAACATGTATGTAGCGCTGCTACATGCAAGTTCAAGAACATTTACAGATGAGATTATGGTTAATCCTTTTTCCCCCAAGTGCCTAGTACTGGGGCTACTACATCATTTCCTGTT